TATTGAAACATTAACTGTAGAAATGCACTAACGGCGAGACCAATTAACACCAGAAAAAATTGTATAAAAATACCTATTAAAAAGATTCTTTAGTACTTGCATATTATTTCATAAAGTAATCAAAGCCAATGAGAGTAGGTACCTAAAAAAAATATATAATTCCGATTAGGTAGTAATGCATTCTTCTGTAATCTGGATATAAAATTGAAATCACTCATTCACTCACAGACTGAAAAAAAAATTTCGAAAACTACTTGAACTACTTCAAATTTGTTAGGTAAGAACACTTTTCATTCTACTACTCATTTTTAAGATTTTCTGATCGCATGATATAGCACAACAAACTACTAATTTACAATCTACCCTTAAACCTTTACGATCTGTCAAAGTGAACAGATTATATTAGACTCCAGTTTTTTACAAATAGACCTATAATAGATACAATGCCACTAATTATTCTGACTAATGTTATCAATGCGAAAATGAGTTTGTTTGATACCATTTCACGGCTTAACTACTCAACCCATATAGGGGTATAGAAAAGGACATAGAGTACCCTTTATCAAGATAAAGGATGCCGTTACCGAGGCACACAAAAAATTAGTTTTATATGTGGTCGATTTTATCCCTTAACTATTCACCGATCATCTAGAAATTTTGTACGAATATTGTCGAGGGTACAGAAAATGACATAGGGTACCTTTTATCCAGAAAAAGAATAGAGGGATAGAACAAATTAGTTGTTACGTAGTCGTCGATGATCTTTGATTTATTTAGGACATCAACGCGAGCAAAGCCGAGGGTAAAATCTAGTTTCCTATGAATATCTTAAATTCCAAATTTTTGTGCCTAAGTCAGATAATCTATTAGGAAATGCCAATTATTATGACTTCCACATTTGAATATTCTAATAAATGCTTCAAATTTGCCCACCACAAAAATAATAATCGTGACAGTAATAATATTTAAACATGGCATAAATTGATGTAACTATGTCAATTAAACCGATTTGTAAATGAGTTCATTACTTGAGTAGAAAAATGTCAATTTACCTGCTATAAATTAACCAGTTTTTTCTGCAACGACTTATCTAAATAAATATTAAAAGTTAATATATTAATGCATTGTCTTTACCATTATCTATCCCCACGGATTCCTTATCTAATTACCCCTTACTGTGTTAATCTGTTTTAAATGTGCTAGAAATACACTTAGTTCTTCAGTTGCAGTAGCAACTAACTTGTATTACTTGTAATTTCCAAAAAGAAAAGGGTAATAAACTTTATAGTAGAGGTAAAGAAACAACTTATTATTAGTATTGACATAAATAAGGTATAATCATTTGTATTAGCATAAATAAGGTACATTTATTAGTATTAATTCAAAGAATAATAATTGCAAATCAAAACGAGTATTATTAATATTTTAATTAAATCCAAGTTTAATAAAATTTTATAATTGGAAAATTTGCAGAAAAATAATTTTTACCGGTTGCAATTTCCAAGTAACAGAAAGACCATTCATATAGTTAATTTTTAGTTTAAAATGTTTGTTAGTTTAAAAGGAAAAATTTGACGCCAAGCATGTACTTATAATAAGCATTTGAAGTAGCAATATTTAAACATATTAAGACCGGTAATTTTAATTATAAAGGACCACTTGTTCTAATTAACTTATTTGTCAAGAATTTTTATTAGTTTTACAACAGCTTTTTGAGTTTCAAATATATATTGTGCTTGATAATCACGTCGCCTCATTAACGGGTTTATTTTTACTTTAGGCAATTTTTAATATAAAATTACTATTTTAATATAAACACACATTAATTTGTCATTTGAAGAAAACAATTTTTGAATTGCTAAAGCAATTTTGTCCATTTTTCACTCATTAAAAAGGCGAAAGTGAAAATATTTTCTATAACGGAAGTAGATATAGTTAATCTAATCAAATATCAAGAAAGGGCGGGAGCTTGATAAGGTGCTAAAGAACCAATTTTTGGTAGTTTTGCAATTAGGATTTCCAGGGTTTTATGATTAAAAAGAAAGACGGAACTCCTTAAAAGATAAAACAGGAGACAACATTGCGAAATTCTTCCCTATAATAACATCTGTCATGATTAGTGTTTGGGAATACTGGATGTTTTCGAATTCGCCGAATTGGAATATGTGCCAGTTGCGTACAATATACGTTTTCGTCTTGTTTGCGTGCAGCCCCGGATAGAAATGAAATGAGGTAACCCTAACAGACATCCGGACCGGATCAGGCTCTAGTACGGAAGCCGTATTACGGTATCCACACTTAGCACCTGTCATTGTATATTCCTTGTAACCTCATCGTTACAGTGCATCGATCTTCCTATTCATTTTACTATGATCCAGGACTTGGCGAAAAATAGAAAAACTAATCGAAATAACACTGCGCTTGTTTCATCCACCCATAAAGCGCCGCGCTTCATACATACACGTTTAATAATCTTTCTCGAATTTCTAAATTAACCGTTCGCGAGCATAGATGTAACTTCTTTTTATTGAAGGCGACTCGACCCTGCGCTATCCTCTGCTTTATATCGCTGCTACTTCTTCCGTCATGACTTATGTGATTTCCGAGATACCTAAAATCAGCCACTTCTTCTAATTTTCTATCTTATACATTTATATTTGTTCTTTCCCCACTTTTTCTTCCCTCACATATCAGTATTTTTGTTTTACTTTTTTTTATTTTCATACAATACTGTTTTGTCAATACCGCTTCCATTTTATTTAAAGCTATCTCTAACTCCTCCTTGCTAGATGCTAATACTGCTATGTCATCTGCAAATCTAAGCATACTAATCTTTTACCCCTGTATATTTATCCCTACAGTTGTACAGTCTTTAATGATGTTGATGGCGTCTTCGATGTATAGATTAAAAAGTAGCGGTGAAAGTGTGCATCCCTGCCTGACTCCCTTCCTAATATTTACTTATCTACATTGCAGCTCCAGCTCTATAACTACCTGTTGCTCTTTATACAAACTAAGTATCACTCTTCTATCACTGTAACTCATCCAGGTATAATAAAAATATTGCATATATCACATTATTCTTATTATGATTTCAGTCATTAAAGCCATAATGACGCTTCTCAAAGAAAAAGTAGTTGATCTGTAACTGTCGTTAGATTGTCTTCGAACGACGTATGTTTAAGTCAAAATATAAATTGCAAATCCTGTGAGATCCCCTGATTTGCACCATTTAGGTCAATCTGGTTGGGTAGATATAGATGTATCTAGCTTCATTTAGTACTACAAAGTAAGGTCAAAGCTGTATTCCTCAGCAATAGTTTCGTTTCATTGCTACTCCTAGTTCTTGTTATCACGTACTTGACAAATATTATGAATAGAATTGGGAAAAGACTCTTTGACGTAAATCTCTCTGTATCAAGATTGAGAACAGTTCTTTGTAACAGTATGAATTACGCCCATATTTGTACCGTTGTTAGTCTAATAACTCTCTTGAAAGCGGAGGAGTCATGAGTCATGAAATATCCATCAAATGAACCGCCTAGATCTTTGCTTCTATTGGGTTACACGTACATTGCAATATGCGTTTGACTACACGGTAATGAAGAATTTCAATTAAAACTTACTCTAAACAAATTTAATTTGAGGACGGAATATTATTCGTTAAACTTCTAATTCTAAAAAGCAAACATTGTATATCTATACCAGGGATGTTACGGTTCCGGTTCGACTCCGGTTCCGTTAAGTCGGAACTTCCGATTATTATTACACCTTCGGTTCCGACTTCGGCTCCGACACTTTTAAATCGAAGGTTTTAATCGGAGGTCGAAGCATAACATAGCGGCGGCCTGTGTCGACTGTTATGAACAGGTTCATAGTATAAACTTCATACATGTCGCGCGGGGAATCCCCTCGACTTCCACTACGTGCACTGAGCACTCTATCGTCAATTATTTTTTCATTGTTCGTGTTTTATTTTATAATTAAAATTGAAATGAAAAAAATTTGACTAAATAATGTTTTATTTGTCCTTAAATAAAAATTCTCTCTCATGACACCACTTCTGACCCTGCCTCCGACTCTGATTCCGACTCCGATAAAGCAAATTTAAAAACTCCGACTCCGCCTTCGGTTCCGATAAAACTACCTCCGTTACATCCCTGATCTATACATAGAGGTAAACGAATTGAGCATTCTAGTCATGTCAAAAGTATCGCGAATGGGCCATCTCTCCTATAAGTCATCTGTTCTAACTTTATGTTATATGTTGAAATTCCTTATAGTTATTTGGAATATCTAATATGAATTTCTTTCAAAGACAGTTTTCCCAAAATATTTTCGAAACAACGTGAGCATATACGCTTATTCTGCATAAAATGTACTAATTTTAAATAACATGGAAATACATGGCGTTAGATGACGCGAATAAGGAGCAGGTTGTATGAAATGTAAGACACGTAGAACGATGGTTTTGCGAAATAGAGCACTTCACGTGAACGTGCTTTATCGCTATTTGTACAATAGCGTGAAGAAAGATCGGTGACTCTAACACTCTTTGAATACAAATACTCACTACTTGAATATTGTTTTAAAAATGATTCAACAGTGAATTACAAAATCACAAAATAAATACGTTTGATATTAAGGAATCGTTAGAATAATTTAATTTCTTCAAGTAACGCCACTTTGAAGTAGAACTATTACCTAATGTAGAGTCAAAATTACCCCTAACGCTTTAGAATTTTTAACACAATTGAGACGACTGTGGTGACAGTTTGCTTATATTACTTTACGTGACGTGACGTGACGTGACGCGCGACGTTACATTTTCCGATTTTGTACTCTAGTAAATTTCTTTCCTACTGTCGATAAAAAAATTTCACTTTAAAAATGCCTTTTTTTTATAGTACTTCCGGTTCTACATATCTTACTTTATGAGGATATTGTGTGCATGTCTAATACGCGTATGCATTGTAAAAATAGTGTAAATGGCCTCTTACCTGGTAAACTTCTTTGGGAGATGAAGTCCTTCCTTTTGCTAACATTGGAAGGCGGAATCAGGAATTCATAGCTCTCGCAGTTCTCTTTTGAATTCCTGCGGGCAAAGGAGATCGTTAAAGAAAATCATTTTAATTTTGATTGCACGTTTTGTGGATAAAGAAAGGGAACTATTCAGGACAATTTCTTTAGAAATGTTTTTCCAATTAGTCAAAGACAAGATGATAACTAAATCCAGTAGTTTTCAGATAATGCAATGTATTTATACAACTTCAAGGACAATTACATTTAATATTTAAAAGTAATTTTATTTGNTGCATGGAGTTATGACATCAACAACACAATAAACAAGAACAGTATAAGCACAAGAATTTGATTATGTCACGACACTTCGCAAGTGTTAACCTTATTACAAAACAAAACATTCTTTGGTTAATACATTTAATATTTAAAAGTAATTTTATTTGAATTATGAAGTCAACCCTACGTGACTACACATTAAAAACTAAAGCTGGATCGATATATGTATGTATATAAGAAAATAATCGATTGTTTCGATTAATCGATTATTTTGAAAAACTGAAAATAATCGTCTAATCGATTAATGACTGAAAATAATCGATTAGTGGGATAATTCGCCCAGATCTACTCTGTTCGTTGCTATACGTATAGCCCCATGAATCTAGATGATATTTTTCGTATATGTTTAGATGTATGTGATCCTTGCAAATTTATACATACATGTACGATATAATTGACAATTAAATCCTAACAATAATAACCAACAAACAATGTGGGAGACCACATAATAAGAGAACGACGAAAAACAATGGCATTTTAGATCAACGTATGAGAAAAAACAGTTAATACATGGCGTTTCTGAAATAAGTAGCCAGCATCTAGGAGGTGATAGACAATTAAAAGTCAAAATAATTAAGCGAATGTTTGGTGGCCCGGAAGTCCACCGTTTTCGAGAAAAACTTATTTGAAAGTACATACAAGCGCCAGTTCGGTCCTGGTAAGATTACGCAGGGATACTACAACGCCGCATTCAATCAGCTGCAACTTAGTAGCATCCATGCTGTATTTCTATTATATCTTTGTACTCATGTGTTGTTTGTTATTTGTTAGATTACATTAAGTGTGATTGGTGACGTTTATATTTACAGACAGACTAAAATAGTTATTTGTTCTTTTAACGTTGTAGGATCGTATAACATATGTATGTAGACAGTCAAAGTCATTAGAAGTAGGTCAATGTGTCAGTGTCCATAGGTCAATGCAAAATAGTGTATACTATCAGCGATGAATAATGTAATTATTTAATTAATTGTTATCTCAATGGGTGCCTCAATATTATTATGTGTAGTATCGTAGTAGTGAACTGTTAATACTTATTTTATACAACACAACCGTCAGTATTGACATTTTCCGTCGATGTAGCTGTTTAGTTGATATCGCAATTGCTGTGTACGTTGCAAATTCACGCCTAAGGCCGGCTTGGGGTTGTAACTTCGTCTGGTTTTCTTATATATTTTTTGTCACTTTACCACGCTGCCTTGCATTTAGTTAATACCCCCAAAGCTTGCTCATTATTTCAGAAACATCCTCTATAATATTATAAGGACTGGGTGGTTATTAGTTTTAATTCCGATTGGTCAGTTCTTCTGTTTTATGGATTATTCGGATTGTTCGATTATTTTCACAATATCGATTAATAATCGTTTACTGTAATGATTTGAGCAGCTTTACTTAAAACTGTGTAAACCTAATGTTATTCTCAAGCGTTTAAAGTTAGTTCTTACAGATTATGCTTATGACGCGAACGCAATCTCTCAATAATTTTACGGTAGCTTCCAAGACCACTAAAAATAACGACTGACAATTCTAACCTGATATCCTTACTCGAGGGATCCAGAAGATGGGGAGTAGATGTTGCCTTTGTTCTTCCTGATTCCCCTAAGGACGATTTGCGGTTGTTCTCGTGGAGAGGCTGAAAATAGAGAGAATAACGTGTAACGAACAACAAAATGTCAATATTTGGTGAAGCGGGTTGAAATTGAATTTATTTTTACAAAGATCACTTGGTTACAGTTTTGTGTACCTACACGGAGAGACAAATCATGTAAAAATTACCAAGCCGTCCCATAATCTGGGTGCCTTTTCCTGCATGCTAGCACAGTAGATATTACTATGCTTTCTAGTTTATAAGGCTTTGTTAGAAGAATTTTGTCAATTTATGTTTGTTGCACTCACTTTACAGTAACGAGCACGGTAATTTTTCTCTCCGTGTAGCAACAATCAACAGCCCATATAAGTTTAAAACGACCATTTTCTAATACTAGAATGAAATAAACGCCATATTTAAGCGGTGAGTATCATATAGAATATATACAATTAGTTTTTTTAACTTTAAATCAGTTGGGTATTCATTCTCGTCAGCTACTATTGCTGGTGGACGGGCCATCCCTCTGGATTGTACCGGAGAGCATGGGACAAGGTCTTCCACAGTCGCCTTTTAGAAGTCGTGGATACAGATGGTGATGGTTGCAGGTGGAGAAAGATGAGATTGTGGACACAAGGGGAAGTGAAAGGTTTGCCTGTGGAGGACATGGCGCAAGGTCTTCTCCAGCAGCATTTAAGAAACCATGGGTACAGCTGGGTGATGGTTGCAGGGAGAGAAAGGTGAGATTGTGGACAAAACAGAAGTGAAAGATTTACCTTTGGAGGGCATAGCTCCAGGTCTTCTTCTGACGCCTTCTAGAAATCGTGGGTGTAGGTGGGTGATGGTTGCAGGGAGATAATGATGAGATTGGAGACAAAGAAAAGTGGAAGATTTACCTGTGGAAGGCATGGCGTAAGGTATTCTTCAGCAGCCTTTTAGAAATCGTGGGTTCAGGTGATGGTTGCAAGGAGAGAAAAATGAGATTCTGGATAAAACAGAAGTGAAAGCTTTACACGTGGAGGGCATTGCGCAAGGTCTTCTTCAGCCTCCTTTTAGAAATCGTGGGTATAGGTGGGTGATGGTTATAGGGAGAAAACGGTGATATTGTGGATAAAAGACGTGAACGGTTTACCTGTGGAGGGCATAACGCAAGGTCTTCTTCAGCGGCCTTTTAGAAATAGTGGGCATAGGTGGGTTATGGTTACAGGGAGAACAAGATGAGATTGGGGACAAAAGAGAAGTGACAGATTTACCTGTGGAGGGCATTGCGCAAGCTCTTCTTCAGCCCCCTTTTAGAAATCGTGGGTATACGTGGATTATGGTTACAGGGAGAACAAGATGGGGACAAAAGAGTAGTAAAAGATTTATTTGTGGAGTATTATTACTGCCTTAGCATTTGCCTTATAATAAACCAGTGCAGACGGACGATGGATATAGCCGGTGTCCCCTGAATGTTAAGCAATGGTCTAAGCTTCTAAACTATGCCGCTCGGCAGGATTGGAGTAAGCAAACCTACCAAAGATGTGTTTCTTAATCTACCTTCCTTTGTTTTGAACATGGACATTGTTCTATCAACTGAACATTGGTCACCTAAACTTAACCGAACTCGACAAAACCACAGAGTAGCAAAACAACTGCATTTATGAGAACTTTACAACTTGCCATATAAGTATTTAAACTAATTAAATCGCGGACTATGCCAACTGTATTTAATTGTTTTACTGATTTGTGCTTTAGATAACGAAAACTTTCTGTAACTAAATAATATAGTCGGTCTTTTGAATTTCGTTCTAAAAAATTTCATTGTAGCTTCAATGTTTCATTGAGACCCTTTCCTCGACTCGTGCAGACACCCTTTAACACAACAAAGTCCTATTTAAATTGGATTCTTTACGATTTCAATTTTCTTGATAGCGGGGAAATAAAATCTTTCAATTCGGAAGCAAACTATATGACAACTGAAACATTTATTCTTGATTTAAATATTGAATCTACGTCCAAGTTACTTTCACGAAAAATTGAAAGTTGAGGCAGTGGTTTTTATTTGATTTCTGGAATGGAGTTAAAGGTTTTTGTGGTATTCAACATATTTTCCTGAATAAAATCCAGAAAGTTGTGTTTTACAAGCACGGAAATAAATAATGGGTAAATGTCTAGATGATGGCGGGTGGGATCGAAAAAGGAGGTCTCCCTTACCACTGTACCATAAAAAGTTTGTGGCGGTCTCACCCCCATAAAAAGTTACGGGGGTTAGATGTGGGTGGGGGTAGGGGGGATCGAAAGAGGGTGGTCACCTGAGTAAAACCTCATAAAAAATTTGCGGCGGTCTCATTTGCTCAAGTTATGGGGTTGAAAGTTGATTATTTTGTCAATTTTCATACACTACAATTCAAATAAAATTCAATAAAAAAAATATTTTCAAGCAGGTGGAGCTGGGGGATCGAAAGAGGGTGGTCACTTGAACAAAACCCGATAACCTAACCTAACCTACCCTATTGATAAAGATATTTAAATAATGTTTTATATAACTTTCTCAATATTTTTATGTATTTTTCATCAGTTTTACCTTAGAATAATGTTTAAGAATGACTATATAAATATTTACATGCCTAGAAATGTATAAAAATTGGCATATTTATTAACTTTGAACCCCCATAACTTTTTATGGGGGTGAGACCGCCACGAACTTTTTATGGTACAGTAGTGGGGGAGACCTCCTCTTCCGATCCCCCCCACTACCACCCCCGAAGGGGGTAGGGGCCGTCATCTAGACCTTTACCAAATAATGAAATAATTCATTAAGGTTTAACTCTGCTAAATGTTCCGCAATTAATCAAACTTCAATTAATTATGTGATAGTATTTATTATTTCCTATCTTCATGCAGTGGTCGATACCTATTCATACGTTAAAATGTAAATAATTCCCTGATTTAAATTTTGAGAAGGTAAATATCAAATTCAACAAAATCGTCTGAGATTTTACAAACGCTAACGTAAGACAAGACAGTACGTCTCTTTGTATGCAAAGGTGCAACACAAGGATTGTTACGTGGGATTGGCTTGAATTCTAAGTCGACATCAGCGGAACTTGGAAGGTGTCTATTACCTTTGTATCGCGTTCCGAGAATATTGCACAGTTCTCGGCGCCACAACTCCTCCGAATCTGGAATCGGCGGAGACGGTTGTGACTTATTATTGATTTTCATTAACATTCCGCAAATTTGCAGTCATACTGATGGGTTTTATTGGCCGTTGTTGTATGCGTTGCAGACACCAGCGAATAGAGAATTCAATACTAACGACAATCAAGCCAAAAAATTCCGCCGGTATACAACTTCGTAGCGTTTTATTGAATTGTTCACGTTTACTGAATTTTTCAGTTAATTCAGCGCCATGTTTTCCGGTTGAGTCAAACGTCATGATTATTTAATAAACGAGCTAACTGAATAAAACTGCTGATTTTTCAAAAATTACGGTGAATACTATTTCGAACATAAAGGTTTTAATGGTTTATATATGTCGCTTCTGTTTTACATATTGATTTTGAATTGACACTTTCATTTTATTTAAACATGTAAAATTTCAAATTAAGTTAATCTTTCGATTTCAGAATCAATATTGCTTACAATTATGTACTACAATTCCGTTATGTATACAGCAGCAGTTTTTTATCATACGATCTCGTACAAATATACTATAGTTATACCGTTTAAAATGACCCTTGATAAAGTGTTAAAACTACTGTAAAATGATTAGATACTTATAAAAATAATTAACAAAAAGAAATTAAAAAGAAAAGATCTTATTATCATTATTTTCTTTTGTACCCTAGACAAAAAATTTCAGTCTCTCTCCAGTCTCTGTTTTTCAGCGTCCCTTAGAGTGTCTCTCATAGTCTTTCACAGTCTCTCAGTTATTGCCTAGGTGTTTTTATGGATATCTCAGTCTCTGTATGAGAGACTTGAACGATAAAATTGTTAATTCAGAGATTCGAGTCTCTCACAGAGAGACTGAATGAATAAAACTGAAAAATTGAGAGACTCGAGTCTCTCGTAGAAAGACTGGGATCTCTGAAATATGTTGAACTTTAAAATTTTAACCATGTCTATCGAGACACCACTTATTGAGAGATTCGAGTCTCTCGTTCAGAGACAGGATACGAAATGAGGATCTCTCTATGAGCGACTCGAGTCTCTCGTTCAGAGACGCTAAACAGTTTCTTTGACAGTCTCTCGACAGTCTCTTTCAGCGACACCAGAGAGACTCCATGAGAGACGAAGACTCGAATCTCGCTTTCAGAGATATATTACTATTACTACTATTATTTAATTATACAGGTATATCTTTAGCGGCGACTAAATTCTAAAATTTTGTCTCGTGTTAGCAGTATAAACATTAAAAAAATCTGATGGCAACGTAATATTGAAAATTTTCGTCAAGAATCACGTCCCATCATAATTTTAATACGACTAAATCCTGAGCTATATTAAAGGTAATCCTTTTAAAAGTTCCTTTTCTCTTGATCTTTGGCATCTACATCTCGTCACTTTCTGTTAAACGCTAAAATTAACGTTAAATAAATTTAAAACGCCCTTTATCTACTTAATAAGGAAATATTTGTTTTATTAGGGTTACAGTCAATATTAAACAGTAGCAGTTTGTATAAGAAGTAGCGTGAATTTAGCGGTTGTAATTTTAATAGACGTTTAATTGGGAAGTCTTGTTTTCAGCACGGAATTTATTGACTACCACCCATATAAAAGTACATATGCGACCTTTGCACTTGAAACAGAACAACTTTCTTCAAAAAAATCAGTCACAGAAAATAAAAATTCAAGATTTAAGAGCAGAATAACAATTTTAACTTCTAAACTTATGTCACCTGCCTAAAATGTGCCTTTTCCATTTTCCAAAGTAATATACAAGCTACAGAGAATTAACATACATACATACATAAGTATATCTGAATATTTCTGATGCTTAAGTATTGTGGAATGTTATATGCATAATATTATGCTTATCCTTACAAGACAGAGGCAATTTGACG